CTCAAGAATTTGAAAATATAATCTTTGATCTTTGAATATATTAAAAGATTCAAAAAATCAGATTTTGAATAACTTCATTATTAAAGAAAAAAAAGGGTGAGCATTCTTGATGAATCACSCTGTATATATAACTTCACATTCTTCTTGTCCTTACAATGTTAATTTTAAAAAATTAGATTGAAAAATTTGTTTTTCTAGGTTAGATTACAAAGAATTATGTTAAACTTATTAGTGAAAATCAAAAAGAATATATACTTTACTTCAAGAAATTAATTATATGATTATCGTCTAGTATAGGTTTACTCCCATTTTTGCTTTAATTGTAATATGCGATCAATAATTTTGTGTTTGTTGTTAATTTTGACGTATGGCTTAGAAATGAGTAACTCATCAGTGACATATTCACCTGTGATGAGCTACTGAAATCAGTCACTGCAGGTATCGTTTTCTTTTGAGGCAACCAGGAGGATTCTCAAACACAGTCTAAAAACAACAAAAAAAACCTTGATTCACATTTAATCAGTATAAACGTTTTTCATTTTAATCAATACCTATGGTACTGTTTAACAAATTTCACATATTAAAACCAGAATAAACTATTTTTATAAACTATAAACTAATTTATTTTACTCGTTTATTATGCAGTTAGAAAATTGTAATTACAAAATGGTATAGTTTTCATAAAATATATTTAGTTCTAGAATAAACATTTACCTTGACGAAACACTAATAAATGTGAATAATATTACCATGCAATATAATCATTATGCATACACAATACCGTATTATTAAAAAAAGCATGTATCAAACTCATTTAAATGTTTACTACAAGATTATTTTTATACATATATTTAGATTTTATAAACATCCCATCAGCTTAATGAACTGAATATTTTCATACAATAACGATTGATTACATAAACAAATTCATAACAGTCKATTTAACAAGTGTTTAAAATTTAAATATATAATCATAAACCATTATATCAAATACAACTAAATGTATAATCCATACATGCATGCTGATACTTATTATTTAAATACAATCACTGCACACATTTACAGTTTTTTTTTAAACTTGTTTGATCAGTTAATATTATGTTTTTCAAACATATATTGAAAAATTTAAAACAAATATCAAAATCTATGAATTCTGATACTATGTAAATTATTTATTATTTGTTTTTATCGAAATTTATCGATGAATAAAAACTATATGAATGATAAATGTATATACTTAAATAACATCACACAGTAATCTCTTTGATACTATATTAAATATAATCTGTCCTGTTCACTTATAATAAAAATCAATAAATATAATATTGAAACTTTAGTATAATCTCTAGTTCTGGACAATTTTGAAAAGAATAGATTTGGTTTAGTTATTGTAGTCTTAAATTTGGAAATTTAATGATGAAGATCACCTGCAGGCAAAAAAAAACTATATCCTTTAATACAACGTGTATTTGAGTATTTGACTAGGTAAAACTAATGTCATCGAAATAATCACAAATTAGGTTCTGTTAATTAAGTTTGAATTATATATCAATGGAGTCTTCCTTATGTAAAATGTATCTCATGTAAGCAGTGGTGTAACTATAGGCATTTAAGGCCAGTGGCATAAGATTTTCTGAGGCCCTTTAAATTGTTAAAAACAAACAAATTATAACTTTTCACTATTTGAAATTTATTTCAAATACCAAAATAATATAATTTCCATATTTATTATTTTTTTGTTAAACCTGTAATCTAACATAAAAAAAAACCGGTATTTTAATTAGGCTAGGCCCTCGTCAGTTTAATTCCGTGACGTTTGCTCACCCAGTTTTTATGCCACTGCGTTAAGCCACACATATAAACATTCCTATGTTATAATTTCATTGATTTTAAGCTATACGTTCAAATTTTGTACGCTTGTTAACGAAGTTTGACATTTTCAAGATACAAGACATTTTATTTGAATATATTCAAAATAATATACCAAAAAGTTGAGAATGGAACAACTACAATGATGAAACATGTTGAACGCGTACATGCTAAAGTCAAGAAATAGCTGAACAAATTGAATTGTCACTCGTGACAAGTAGACTAGTGTAAGTTTCAAAAACTATTTGTATAGTTTATCTGCCACATAGTAAAATATTTTATCAGCCGTTATTTTTTMTTTTGAAAATACTTAACACAACCACGTTGTTAAATTTATATTTTAACACAATTGCCTGTAGAGTAAGTCACGAATAGCTTATTTTTAGAAACGTTAAAAACTAAGATAAATTAAATTGTTTATTTTAAGTAAAACAAATTCTGTGTCTCATAAGTATAGTCAATACTGCATATTATATGTATAAATATTATCATCATGATGTGAATAAATTAATCAAATTTTTTAATTATAAATTTATAACTAACTGCAGTAGTTGTTTTTTAGGATCTAATTTTACGCTTAGTTAAGATTTATAAATATTAGAAATAAATCTTTCTACAAAATATTTTTATTTTTTATTTTTTATTAAAAAAAAAAAGAAGATTTATTATATAACCTTATATAACCTAATTATGTAACAAAAGTCTATAGCTATACAGAAGGTAGCATAATAATATAATATTGTATCATACCACTTTCAGCTAAACTGAAAATCAATATCCAAAAAGTATTGTTATGTATGTTAATATATTATCTTGTACCTATACCTATCAATGAGCAACTCAGCCGAGGCGGAAAAGAATTGATTTAACGATAAAATCTATGTAGATATTCTGTCGACAATGCACGTACCTATTTATAATATTATACTGATACGTGTAGGCAATGTCGTTAAATTAGGAGGAAAATTTTAACCCCATGTACGTTTTAACTTTTTATACTTTCCTGGTTAAATCTACATAATCGTATACAAAAAAATTTACTTATCTTGTACACTGCAGTTTCAATACATATTGCTTCTATATAGGTACTTAAAGGTGCGCCAATAGACGTGACAAATTAGGAGATTCGTTTTTAACAAATCATCATTCAAACTATTTAAAAAAAAGCAATTTTGTATGACTAATTCAAATATATTTACTTGATTGAAMAATTTTGACCGATTTTAAAAGTATTAAATAAACAAAAGAATATCATAACAGTGAATGAATCATCAAGGAATCTCTAGATATTTTAAGGWTAGGCTTAGGTCTTCCCTAGTAGATGCGTCCAAAGTCATTTAATTCATGGTCTGGTTTTTATTTCTGGCCGTAACATAACAAATTGCGGGTTTGGTGACTAGTCACGAAGTGAGTTCTACGATTTGCCAATCAGCTACGATTTTAAATCGTGGGAAATATTTGATAAGCCTATGAAACGCTAAACATGTCGAACCGATACTCAAAAATACTTGGTTGGGAATGAGCTGGGAATGATATTTCAGTTCAATTTTTTTCCGTCGACATAAGACTACGATCTTATCACACAGGGACGCATTAAAAAAATTGTCAGACTTGTCGACTGTGGGCGGACGGCCGGCAATGTGAATATAACAACGTGTTTATAACAGTATCACCAATTTATGAATACTCCWAATAAATTTATATTATGTTTTATTATTAATATTATGTATATAATATTGTGTTGTGTTGATCTTCCCATGGAAAGATACTATACTAGATTTTTTTACTATTATAAATCACTTCGATGGGATATTATTAATTTCCTGCTTAGTGCATCACTCCTCTTCCAAAAAAATCGAAAAACATTGTTTTAAGATCAATTTGATCGGGTATTGTTTCATACATAAGTGTCTAGTTTTTCACCATAATGGATGTGTTAAATTTGAATTCAAATATATAAAATCATTGTATACGAAAAACAATTATTAGCTAAGACTGTAAGCTTATAATATTATTATATATATCATATACTTGAGGATATTATTGTGATTAAAGTAACTTATTTAACTATAAGACATCAGTACAATAGAAATGAGTAAGTTAAATTCATATTTTCCAATAAAATTTCATCTAAAAATGTCGTATGTATAAAATATAATAATATACTGAGACAGTGTTAAAGATATTATCGTTCCGTGCTTATCGTCGAGTGGCAAACACGAACTTCAGATCAGATAATAGGTATATTATATTTAAAATAATTTAAAATAAAATATTTGAAATTATAAATTGCAATTACTCAATTACTTAAGGACACTTCAGATTACTGACTAAAATAGTTAGTATTTTTGTCACTATATGATTTATATCTTATCAACTTTCTTTTAAAACGTCAATCATTAATTTGTCACCTATTCATGGATAAATCTACCTAAAAACTGCGCAGTTAATAAATACTTATACGATTAAAATTAAATTCAAATTCAACTATATAATATAACGTTTAAAATTATTATAGTTATATTTTAGGAACATACGAATATTTGTTTGCAGAAATGATTGTAGTATATTAGAGCAAAACTTTTATCAATCGCATAAGTATTCTCCAAGTATATACTATCCTTGTACCGTACAAACTATTTTATTGTTTTTTTATTAATTTTAACCCAATATGGAGACTTTTTGGTAGAAATCCTAATAGTTATTATGTTTGTTGGTAGATAATTTTGTTCTCCGTAGTTTATTAAACAAGTTTAATTCAAAGATTCCAAAAAAGTTATATGCCCTTGATTATACTTTAGGTAGATAGTACAGTATGACAAAACAAATAATAATAAAGCAGTTAATTAAACCAGTCAAAAAATATATTCATATAGTATTACTATTTGTAGCTAAAAATTGTTTATCTTTTTGTACAAAGTAAATGTTAACTTACTAAGCGCATAATACTTTTGAAATATGATTATTTATAATTATCATTTGTTGTATATACTTGTTATTATCTTATTATTTTTCACCTGATTATTAATAAAAAATATATATTTAATAACTCTTTATAACTTAGTTATACCTAACTAAATATATCAATTGTTTCCAAGTAAATTAAAATGCTTGAATTTATTATGTTTTAGAAGCAACATTTGAAAATGATGGAAATCTTGAAGCATTACTCAATCACGTTTTATGGGAACCTACTACGAGCAATTCACCGACAACAGAAGAAGATAAAGTTGCTCCATATTTTGATGAAACATCTACTCATAACAACGTCACAGTCCAAATTGGAGCGAATGTAGACCTCCATTGCAAAGTGAACCGTTTAAACGACAAAACGGTAAATATTATGTGAACTAAAATATCAAATATTTTTGATTTAATTGTGTAAGATGTTTGTATAAAACTGACATTGAGTTTGCACATTGCAATAGTTTTTCCAATACACATTTATCTATTTTAATCATAATTATCAGYTATACTCGTAATGTAGTAAAGTACAAACAAACATTACATTAATTGGAAAATTATACAATACAGGAACTTTAGAAACTTAAAAATTTCTATTTATATCAATTTTACAATTTATGTTTACACAATGATTATATATATATTATATTACATAWATACAATACTGCTATTAAATTAATGTATTTTACTATTAGGCATTTCTATAGAATAGGTTAAATTCGTTATTCTAGAAAAAGTGTTAAAACTAATAAAAGCGATATTTAAAATATCTATAAATAACTCAAAAACAGTCAAAATATTTTGAAAATTGTTTTGTGTAAGGAAAATTGTCTAATGCACAATTGTGAAAATGTAAATTCTGTATGGTTATTAGTATTAAGTTACATTTAAAAAAAACTAAATCAATTTTATCGAAAACTGATTTTGTGTTAAACATATACCGATACTTTTGCAGAAAACTACGGGAAATTTGAAATTTTTACCTCCTTATAACACGAACTAGATTCACTTTCCCATAAAAAAAAATAAAAATAATTATAATAATAGTTAATTAAAACATTATTTTGATTATTTATCAGATATCGCGTACACATTCAAAACTTAAAACACTAATTTATTGTTGTAAGATTAATTCATTCATCACTCAACTAACATTTCCTCCAATAAATATTTTACTTCTAAATGTTTTATTTTAGATTCTGAGCAGAGCGATGAATGTATTGATTTTACCATGATGTGTGTTTTTTTTTTGTGTGTCTGTCATCACGTTATAGGGCAGTAAAAATGCTTGGATTTTTTACTTCAGTACCTCGTTCGATCAGAAAGTGAATCTAGTTGGTACTTTGGGGGATCAAAAGTAAGCGAAGACGGTTTATCGGTCTAGGATATATTATAGATTATGAAAAATTTTCAAATCTTAGATATAAAAGGAAATTTTTTTATGAATTTCTAGCATAAAATAATTTATGAATTTTCGTGATTTTTACGTATGTTTGTCAAAATTCAAACTTTGAATCCTTGTAAAAAAAAA